AAACTTGTGAATCATATCCGCAGATTACACAGCGATGAGCCAGATTTCTTTATAGTGTGTGGAATCAGTGGCTGCCAGTCATCGTACAGAGTTTTTTAAAATCTTATCTTACCCATCTTAATCGCCATCATTTTGCAGAGTTTTCTTCTGTTTAGCAACAAGTTGAAAATCAAGCCCCTCAGATGAGCTCATCATAACAGAAGTACCAGAACTGGAACAAGTAGATACACAACTGAATGAAGAACTAGTCACTGAGGATATACAAGGTGATGATGATGTTCCAGATGTTCGACAGTCTGTGACTTTGCTTATTTTGTCCCTCAGAGAGAAACATAAATTACCTTTTTCTACATCTAACGCCATTCTTCGTGAAGTTTCAGATCTATGTCTTGTTCATGAAAGGGAACTTACCACAAAATCTAAAGATATTTTAGTGCATCATACAGGTGTCGATACCCAGGTGACAATATCTAGTGACATTTTGCACCATCTGTCATCTTTATCTTTTGAGCAGCAGCAGATTAACTACTTCAGAAGAGCTCTTGGTTTAGTTGAGCCACAAAATGTCAAATTAGGAACAAAAAATAAAGATGTATTTCAGTATGTGCCAATCATTGAATCACTACAGTGTCAATTGAAACATAAAGATGTCGTAGCCCATTTGCTAAATTTTAGGTATAGTTTTCAAGAAGTCGAATACCATGAATTTTTAACAGACTTTCGTGATGGAATATTTTACAAGCAAAACCCTTTATTCAAGAGACATGAGCCCACTATTCAGTTAATCTTCTATCACGATGATTTTCAAATCACCAATCCATTAGGATCAAGATTCAAGACCTGTAAAAATAAGTGCATTTTACTATGTTTTTGGCAATTTAGACACTCAATTCCGTTCAACAATTCTTGTCATTCAACTAGCTGGTTTATGCAGAACTGAACTAGTACAAGAGTATGGGTATGAACTTGTACTGAAACCAATTCTAAGAGACCTTAAACTCTTAGAGAAAGATGGTGTTTGTGGAAATATCGGTGGTGTTGAGCACAGATTCAAAGGTACAATTAGCTTTTTGGCAAGTGACAACTTGGCAGCCCATTCCGTTGGTTGGTTCATTGAAAATTTTACTGCAAATCACTTTTGTAGGTTTTGCATGTGCACAAGATACATTCAAAAGTCTGACCACTCTGCAAGTCAATTTTCGAAAGTAAGGGACAGACGCATTGAAGGGTATGACAGATCTTGTGAAAGAGTGGAGAGAGTTTTCAAGATTTCCTGGATGGCACCAAGAAGACCAAGAGCAAACCGTACCTTCTTGGAACTGGAAATTCTAAGGCCTGTATCATCAATTATTTCCGGATTGTGGAAAAAAACAACAGGAAGACAACTCAGAAAAGTTCTGCCCAACCACTGAGCCAGGTCCCTCAAGTTGTTCATCTGATTGGGAAGATCAATGCGATGTCTCAAGACGTGAGTCCAGGTTGATCTTCCCTAACCTTGTTCAGTCATCAAATCAAACAGCAAGCCATATTGACAGTGATGAATCAAGTCTGTATACAAGATATGATTCTGGCAGTGATGATTCAGATGTATTAGATCCTACGTATCGACCAGATGAATGTAGCAGTGATGAGTCAACTACAACGATTCAGCGCAAGAGATAATCCTCTGTCATGGATGACAAGCCTGCCAAGATTTTGAAGCGATGCTGGCTTGGAACATCATTAGGTCCAGCATTACCAGAAGAACTAGTGGAATGTCGCCTGTCTTCAGAAATGTCTAAAAAGCCTGTCAAGGCTTTGATGCAATGTTTGCCTGGCCCATCTTCTGGCCCAGCATTGCAACATGGACTAAAAAAACAAATGCAACAAGAAGAAACCAAAATACAAGAAGCCATCAAGGACATGCTTGCTTGGTCTCAAGAAATATGTGAGATTTAAAAAAAAATGTCTTGAAACTCTGCACGAACTGCTTCGTTGACATCATTTTATCTGCAGAAAATTTGAATAGGCAGTGTGCAAAAGTAATTTTTCTTTCTTGTTTTCATTAATATTACCTACCTATCCCCCTTAAGAATGGTACAAGTGTGGAATCACACCTGGCTGAAGAGAGGAGAGACAAAAAGCGGCAACAACCTTACCTTTTGGGCATTGGAGAGCGCTGCAATCCCACTCAGTTTTTCATTGTTGTGGATGATCTAGCCATCCTCTGTGGAAGTGACCTTACAGAGGTCGTCGACAAACTGTTTAAGGTACATTATGTTTTCAACATCCATTATGCAGACTAAGTATATAGATTTTTTGCATTCCTTTAGAACTTAGTTTATGGCATATGAAAAGTGGACAAGAAACAGTACCTGTCCGTGCCAGAGAGATGATGGCAAGCATCACTGCCTTGGAACGCAATGCAAACAATTTAAATTCATAATGATTATGAACAGAGCCTGCTGCTTCTGACTTCACCTAGTGCCTGTCCTCAAATGGGCTCAATTGTCTCAAAAGGGTTAGAAGGTCACATGTAGTTGAATTTAACTTCTTTCACAACTTATAAAATGTTGTCTTTCCGTCCTGTCGCGCTTTATATACATAAGGTGACCATTGAAACAGGGAATTTGTTTCTTTTCTTTTCTTGCTGAATAAATGTAGCTTGGAAGCCTCTATCAGATGCAATATCATTTTATTCAACTATGACTTCTGATATGACAAGAAAAGCTCTCAAATTCCGTCCCATCGCTTTTCCCCTAATTTTGGCTTTTGCACATCAATGTTAGTGGAATTTGGGAAGATATTGTTTGAATGTTTATCATAAAGACATTTTCAACTGTTAAATCGCTTTGCTATTTTGAAATGTAATATGTTGTTGACAGAGTTTGCAATGTGATTGCAGTTAGTTTGTTTACGTGTTCGCGATACTTTTTAGAACTGGTAAGTCTGTTCAGGTGGAATGCATAAAATGTCACTTGAATAGTGTGATGTAATGAAGCGAGATGTAATGAAGCATGTGTATACAGGGTTCTTGTTAATAGCCGGCAACCGGATATTTTTCTCGGCTGTAACGGCAATCGTAGCCGGCTGTAAGCCTCTCCAAAAAAAAATAATAATAATACAAAAATCACATCATATTCGGTCAAGTCGCTATCTCAAATTTCTGTTATCACAAGCTTCACGAAGACACGCTTTCATAGCGCGGGGTTGTGAAAACGGTCGTAAAGAAATGAGATGAAACGTCTCCGAAACGATCGTAAAATAAAACCCTATTAAAATATGGACTTGCGGCGCGGCGCACGCGGGGGCAGAGCTATCTAGTATATGCCCAGTGCGCCAGAGCCAAGCGCAGGCCGGCAAGCTAGCTTACGCAAGAAAAGCGCGCGTTGTGAGCCGAGCTGAGCTAGCTGAGTGAATTTATCTCCGAGATCGCACGCCAGTCGAATTAAAATGGAATCGAAACGGCAGACATCGATGTCTTCCTTCCTTACTATTAAGAGTAAGAAGCTACGTACAGGTAAGTTTTTTATTTGAAATGTAAATAATAATGTAGGCTAAATTATAAATAATACCGGTAGTAATAATGAGTGTGAAACTGTGATTGATTTGGCGATGCACGATTCGATTCAGAATACGAGCGCTGCACATCCGGTGCGGCACGCTATACACATACACTGTCACAGAGACTAGACCGTAGACGTACGTTCGTAAACAAGCTCAAGCCAGCGAACTCCGCTCGCAATAATTTAAAGAGGCCAGCTCCAGAGCTCGCTCTGCGTCCAAATGATCACCCGCATTGGCATTGCTATTTATACTTCGTAATCCTAAGTTAGATCTACCGTATTGTGAATAAAAAATGAAAATTTGTACTCATACATGTATGTACTCTTCTTAGCCAGTCCTCAGATTCAGAAATGGAATGATCATTCACTATGTAATTATTGCAAAAAGTTTCAGCCTCAGGTACATGAATATTAAACATGTGTCACATTACATTTCAATATGCGAGAAAAGTTTAATACATTCTGATTGAATTGACAAGATTTTTCCTTCTAAGGTCTCTAGAATCTGAATGGGAGATCTTGAAATGCTAGGGGCTTGCCTTCAGGGGAGACTCCCCTCCAGACTGAGGCACTGCACCTGGACCCTGCTGGGGGCGTAACACCCCCAGACCCCTGTGACAGCTGTCACATACCTGCAAACCATTTACCAATCCAATTTTGTCATATTTTTTTTATGTGTGTTCCAATTTTTTTAATTTTTTATCGCAAACGATTTTCTTCACTGACAAGGTCCTGTAAACGTCAGTTAACCGTTTTTGCCCAGGACTACCTTGTATCATTATCATGTAATTCAAAATTGTAGATTCATCACAAATATGATTGATTTATCAGAAACAATAATGGAGCATTTTCATTTCATATTGTATATCATATGAAAAGTAAGTTATTCAGCCAAAATATTCATGATCTTTATCATTAAACTATGGCTCATACAGTGTGGTCATATCTTCAAAAATAAGGCTAAGATAGCACCAGAGAGCATCTAAAACCCTAAAGCTGGACCCCGGCCGCAAGGGACTTCGCGCTTCGCGCTCGTGATGTGCGCTTCGCGCACATGGTGATGTGCGCTACGCGCACAGAGATTTTTCTTTTGCAATTTTAGTAGCCTCCTGTAAATCATAAATAGCCTGCTATCAGAAAAATTAACAAGAACCCTGGTATATATATCAGAGTTTTTCTAGAAATTGTTCATATTTTGTATGCTTCCACGCTGAATGGCTGAAAGGCAATATATAGGCCCATTGGTATCGTAGTATGGTAGAAAGGTGTTCAGCTATCGCAGATTACTTTGTCAATCAGCAGCACTGGTCAAAACATAACATTAATGAGATAATTGATAGAATAGTGGGGGAGACTAATCGTTATGCAGACCAATATTTCAGGACAGTAGGAGGGAAAGAAAACTTGTCTCCTCGGTCAAGGGCAAGGACCTGGATTCCAACTGATCCAGCAGAGATGAGGGCTGTTTTAGGAATCATCATGTACACCGGCCTTGTTCGCTTGCCGGCTTACAACCAAGTGTGGAGTACAAACGCACTGCTTAATCTTGGCATCAAGAGCATCATGTCACAGGACTATGTGACTGATGAGTCAATTAAGTAGAGTTAAGATCATACTTCAATGGAAAAGAAATCTTTTTTAAATAAATGCTTTTTTGTTAAAGAATCAACAGAATAATGGATTGAATCATGCTAGCATGCCAAAGAAAAAGAAGCAAAAAAGATGAAGGGGAGAAGGGGGTCATCACACACTAGTCTCGGAAATTAAAAAAGGAAGCATTCCAATTAAGACAACTTCAAAAGTTCAAGCAAGTCACAAAAGAATGCATCATTTCTTCACCTGGTAAACAACGAAGATGCTCCTGAAGGTGACAATAGAGATCGACTCTTCAAGGTGAGAGGAGTCATGGACATGTTTACAGATAGATGGGCAGCAAATTTCTACCCTGGTCGGTTAAGCTTGGAGCATTTGCGATGCCAACACCAGCTATGTCCAGAACTGGAACATTTCCACAGGCAGGAAGTCCTGGAGAATGATCGTGGGGCCATGCACCAGGTAGTGATGGATGTCTCGGCTAGATACCTGAACATTGGACACCATATTTATATGGACAATCTGTTTTCTTCACCGAGTATTTTTGAAGAGCTGGCTAGCAAAGACACCGGTGCATGTGGGACACTGAGGGCCAACCGGAGAGGTGTCCCCAGTGCTATCAAACCGAACAAGTCCAAGAAGGACGATACACCTTTAGTGGTAAAGGAAGGGGATATCACATACATTTCATGGGCAGACAAGAGAGCAGTAAAGATTATCACGTCTGTGCACAACGGAGACACGTTCATCAAAGAAGTCAGAGCAAAGAATGGTCCAGACCACATTAGGAGATATGTCAAACCCAAAGCCATGGAGCAATACACACAGAATACGGGAGAAGTCGACCTTGCCGATCAGCTTCTCTGGCACTCCCTGAACATCCACGGATCCTGCAAGTGGTGGAAGAAGATCTTCTTTGCCCTCCTCAAAGTTTCTTTCTGCAAATTACGACCACATCCAAAATATATAACTTCCACAGGAAATTTATTCCTTGCCTGAGTAGAACTTTATTCATTCCTTCTTATCAAGTTGATCATGGCTGAGTACAGGAGGAATTATTTGGTCAGAAGTTGTGATATATGTCGTGATATAGTATACTACTGAAATTCCAAGAGCATTGTTTTATAAGATTGCATGTACATACGTTGTATAGTTTGGACATCTATTACAGGTTCATTACATTGTTACATTAAATTCTAAATTTGATCCAACTTCAATAATTTAACATTTCCCATATAGACGACAAGTGTTATGTAATGGAACTGAAAACCGTTTTGAAATATATAGTTTTTCTGAAAAATTTATTTGAATTTGGGGCTATGTTGGGGGCTTCAATTACATGATCTTCTTATAATTTCTTAAAATTCAGTGGAGCAATGTATTTAAAATGTATTCTTCTATATTTATTTCTAATTGAACAACTAAAGGAATCAAGTTTTGAAAATCATTTTCAAAAAATGAAAAAAGTTTTTGAAGGAGATATTTTTCAATTTTACCCTTAAGTGACGCAATTCCGTTACCAAAATTTGAAAGAAGTTTTACTCACAAAGTTATTTTTTACTCTCTTTTTTTATGGTTGCAAATTCTCTTCCTTTATCTACCTACTCAAAGCCCTACATGTACATATCAATTTCAGAGGTATTTGATGTTTTTCCAATTAAAACACTGGTAACGGAATTACATACATGTAGGTAACGAAATTACAAGGGGCAGCAGCACTAGTAATGATTGGTATGCTTGGCTAGATATGGACCTGCTGCTTCATGTAAATATAATGTATGCTATGTTACAACATTTTAATGGATTTTGCCCCTTTTTGGAAGTATAGGCTTATTATATTAAGTGTCTAATTAAAGACTAGTAATTTGGCAAATTCAATTCATGTTTCTTTAACTTTTTTTCAAATTTGCATAAAGACTACAAACAAGGCTGGGAATTTTTAATGTGTTTGATATTTTCATTCATTCTGAACTTAAAGCTACAGTCCCATATACGTCCCGGACCGTCCCGGACCATCCCGGACCCCATCCGGGGTGATCCGGGATTCGGTCCGTGTTGACACCGTGTTGGCACCGGGGTGGTCCTGGATGGTCCTGGATGGTCCTGGATGGTCCTGGGCGGTCCGGGAGTCGACCCCGGATGTTTTTGACGGTCAAAAACTGCCGGGGTGGTCCGGGACGGTCCGGGACAATAGTTTGATCCGGGGTGATCCGTGTAGCCACCGTGCTGGGTCCGGGGTCATCCGTAGTGGCGCCGGGGCGGTCCGTGTTGATCCGTGGCAGTCCGGGAGTGAGTTATTGACCGCCCAGGACCATCAAGGACCATCCAGGACCATCCAGGACCATCCAGGACCACCCCGGTGCCAACACGGTGTCAACACGGACCGAATCCCGGATCACCCCGGATGGGGTCCGGGATGGTCCGGGACGGTCCGGGACGTATATGGGACTGTAGCTTTTAAAGCATCACACTTTTTTTTACAAAACATCCCGGACCATCCCGGATCACCCTAGACCATGGTCCGGGATGGTCCGGAGTGGTCCGTGCTCGTCCGTGCTGGTCCGGCTTTATATGGGACTGGGGCTTAAGATTAAAATTTAACCAACATCTCTTACGATACCTACTGATTTAAGCATGGAACTACTTTGTATTATTTCACTAAAGGCAATTTTAAACAGTTCCTTTTCTGATTTTTATTCTTCACTGATCTCATCCTATTATACCCCTTTTTTGCAAGCAGCACTGTAGCATGTCTAGCAGTGAATTTGTGCCCTAAATTTGTACCCCCATAACAAAAATGGTATATGCCATCTGTGCACAGCTCAGGTAAATTTGGACTATTCCATTTAAGAGTAAACATGACCTTATTAAGTCATGTGGATACCTTATTAGCCACATCAGGCCATATCATGGGGCCAATGAAAAAAGTTTCCCTTCAGGTCATGCCATGAGGCTAATGGAAAAGCTACATGACCAATGGGGCAGAGGAGAAGCTATGTAAAAGAGTGTTCAGGAAAGATGCAATTTTACCTAAACTAACACTGCTGTATTTGTAGTGGATGCTGGTCATTAATTGGTAGGTTATTGATTATTCTTAATATAAATTTCTAATTTTATGGAACTGTATATGATGGAATTAAAACTGCAACTGATTGGATTCTTATCCTTTTTAAGTTGAATTCACTATTCATAAATTGTGCTAATGCTGCTTTGAGTAGTGGCTAAGCCTCTTGATGTGTGTATGCTTGATCTGTTGAGTTAAAGACACTATTGGGAGATTGTTATGTTTGTATTGCTAGATCAACTAGATTATCAAAGGCCTATCTGGCATATCATACTTGCTGTAAACATTAGTGTACATTTTAAAGGTATCTTCAATATTCTTAACCTGTAAGTATAAATAATAAAATAATTAAAATATCAAGTCAATATTAGAGCAATAACAAACATTATCATAAAGTAAGTATACATGTAGGGTAGCGCGCCGAGTATTCGATCACACCCCAGTATTCAGTCAGGCAGCTGTTTCAACAGCTGTTACAAACTCATAAATTATTCATGAGCCCCAAAACTTGCACGAATCAGACAGCAGAACAACTCATCCAAACTCTCAAAAGTAAATCAGATAGACATCCACGGAAAGTTCTCCAACTTACTTTGAAATCAGTCGGTGTCTCACAAGTTTCTAAACTTCCGGGGGGGAGGGGGGAGGGGGAAGAGGGGGGGGGGCGATTCCGCCCCTCCTTTTGGTGGAGCTTTCTAACTTACATGTATCCCTATAGAGATCTTCACCCCTTGGAAACTCCTGCATCCCCCCCCCCCCCCCTCCCCCGATGTGTATTCATTTTTAAGATATATTTTATCATTTTCATGAAGGTCGAAAGAATGCAGAGGAACAACTACCGGCGATATAACCAGCAGCAGGTGGATGAGGCAGTAGAGAGGGTCAAAGTGGACAAAATGTCGGTTAGGAAGGCTGTGGAGCTCTATGGCATCCCGAAATCAACCCTTATCGATGAAGTGAGTAAAGAGAGTGGGTGAAAAAACCACTTCTATTCTAACCATAAAATTAAGTATCAAAGTCGCTTATTTCTCCCCCTCTTGTATCATTTATCTCATTCTACTTAAACCTTCCAATTTCTCCTTACCTGTATCTACTTAAATCGCTGGAAAGAGGCCAATCAAGTCAACTCAAGGTCCAGGTCCTTACCTGTCCTTGGCAGAAGAGGCGAAATTGGCAAACTGGGCACAGCAGATGGCGAGAATCGGGTTTGGAGTAAACAGGCTCGAGTTGCAGCAGGTAAGCCAACATGAGCTGTGCAATTTGCACCCTTCAACTCTTGTGTTCTTGATAATTTTAATGATGACAATATAATTAAAGTACTGTTAATAATGATAATAAAAGTGATGATGATGATGATGATGATAATAATAATCTAAATAGCAATAGTGATAGGGTATGCGCTAAACATAGGGTAGAATGTGGAGAGCTTTATGGGGACTTTATTTTTGTGGTAGACCCTGGGAAAACTGTTCCCCCCGTTATATGTGATAACATAATAATAGTGATCATGTCCAGAGAATCATGTAGTCTCCCTCTTCCTGTCTTCATTGCTCAATTCAATATAGACTGTCCGGAAAATAGTGGTGGATGACAAGCGACCGACTGTTTTCAAGGACGGGTTGCCGGGGAAAAAGTGGTCGATGGCCTTCTTCCGGAGACACCCTCAACTATCGTAGAGGAAGCCAGAGGCGTAGCAATTTAGCTGCACATGATTCTCTATTTGGGAAAGTCATCTTTCTGATATACAATCGATAATTTAGTATTCCAGACAAGCCCAATGTTGTGAGTATAATTTGAACAATGTTGATAATTAATAATTAGCCGTCAGTTTCAGGTAGGTGTTGGTTTTATACCGTTCATAGTTTTCAGATAATTTGATGTATAAAATTTGTTATGAAAGTGATTTATACGCACAGTAACTTTGTATCATGCATTACACATGCAGTTACATAGTACGGTACATACTGTACGTGTTATATTATAGGGATAGTCTGTTGTACAGACTGTGTTGTGTTATTTAGATATCATTTATATATAACAGGTAGTTGTATAAAGTGACAGAATGAAGATAACTTTTGGTAATTGTAGACATGCATAAGATATTAAGAGGAATTTAGGGTAATTTTTGTAGAGCCAAAGGGGTTGTTTATCATGCACACAAATGCAATAGTGAATAAAGGAAGTTCAAGTAGCCATAGTTTCAGGGTATCATAAGTTTATTATTCATTTATGATGATGCTAAGGAAATATAACATAGTCTTTAGAGGGCATTGATACATGTATTTCATTTTGGAAAAGTGTAATATGTAATTTCAGTAAACAACTAAACATGCATTAATCATACAACTAATTTGATGCAAGATTGTTTGTAATCACAGTTTAAAATTGACATTATTTATGATTGTTTAATTCTGATTAAATTTCAGGTTGAAAGGCCTTTTGTTAACGGTATCACTACAAGCTGTAAATTGTCGCTCTTTATCGATGTGCTGTCAGTCTGATTGGTTAGTTATACGCTACACACACAAAAGCAACACTTGGCAAATAGTAAATGACTTTTTGGAATGTTATTTCAACAAATTACAAATTGTATTTTCCAAATGATACATTTAACATTTTCAATCTAACTTTTTCTCAAATGTTAAATTAACATTTAAAAGGTTGTCACTCCTCCAACCTTTGCTAAACATCAAATCTAACATTTAAAATGTTGGATTTAACATTTCAGTTTTGAGAGTGTATCAAGACATACAACAATAATAACATAAGTAATACAACAAACAATTTGGAATATAAACCGCAAAGAAAAACGGATACAGATATAGGAACTGATTACAATGTTTTTCTTTTTAGTGAGCTAATGCTGAAAACCTCAATCTTTTATAATAATAGCACTGTATTTTCAATCAGTAAAATTTCATTTATCTTTCATAACATGTGGAAAATTGAGCGCTACCTGACTAAGGTCAAATATAATAAATGCCCAATACATGAACGAGTTACGCTTCTTCGTCAATCCATGACAAGCAAGACAAATTCAATTCAATTCACGTTTATTTGGCCAAGATAAAAAAATCAAACAAATATCTCTCTCAACCTAAACAGCACCTGCTTGAACAGTTTGAAGATTGGGTATTGAACTTACATGTATACAAAGTTTTTAATTTCATAAAAATTTATATGGCATGATTCAAAACCGGATGCTTAAAATCAACTTCCGATTTCCAGGGGAAAACTACAAGGACAAGTCTGAAAGTAGTGGTTTTAAGCAACGCTATTGTAAAAGAGAATGGCTTCAAGACTTATAAATAACCTCTGCAAGCCAGCCAAGTATGGCATAAAAGCGTATAAAATATGTGATCCGTCTGGATATACGTGGAAATTTAGACTTTACACGGGTAGAGCCAAGGATACCATTGTTGGACTTGTGATGTCAATGAAGACAGGACTTTTGGATAAAGGATACAGCCTCTTCATGGACAATTGGTACTCAAGTCCTACGCTTTTTTGTAGAACTCATGCTTGTGGAACTGTCAGAGCCGATAGAGTTGAAATGCCCAAAAATCTGGAAAACCTGCTCAAAAGATGACTCCTGGGATGTCCATATTCAGACGATCCAAGGAATTTAATTTGCAAATTTGCAAATTGCCAACACATTCAGTGACACACAGAAAAAAACATCACGTGACAGGGGAAAATGTACAGAAACCGGACATCGTTCTCGATTACATGGGTGGGGTAGACCATTCAAACTTCCTAAGAAACACATATGCAGATATGAGGAAATTCCTCAAGTGGTACAAAAAACTCTTACTTCATCTGAATGGTCTGGCAGTGACGAATGCGTACATTGTGTACTGCCATGCAGTAGATAGAAAGGTTGACCATTTAAAGTTTGTGCTAAACCTCGTTGAACAGATGATTGCCTTTGGGAACATGCTTGCGCAGGACCGACCACGACCACTCGGACCTGGAAGGAGATGTAATATGGAAAATGTACTAAGGCTGGAATTTTTAGAATCTCAATATTGGCCCATGCATATCCCTCCTACAGCAAATAAGCCAGACACAACTCGACCATGTGTTGTGTGCAAGCCTAAGTCCCTAGGAAAACGGAAGCAAAAAGGAGAACAAACGTTCACGTCCTGAATCAAGATTAATGTGCAGAAAGTGTGAAGTCCCTCTCCACATCCTTTGCTTTTGAACGATACCACACTCATGGAGCACCTCAGAAGTTGCGGTCGGAATGCCCCTAACGTTTCTAAGTTATTCAAAGTTGGGTGTGTAATATATTTTTGATCTGGCAATGGCGAAGGCATATGAATGATGGAGGCATACATTTTGACTGTGTGCAGTTGAGAATCCATTTAATTTTTCCTAGCTTTTCTCAGCACTGATTCTAAGACCATCAAACACATTAGTGTGCAGTTATTTACAGATTCAGTAACATACACTTTCTGGGGGAAAGATGTTCTCATTTTGGATAAAAGTAATGTTTCTTGATTACTATTGACAGAATGTATCGCACAATTTATCTTTCTCATTGTTCACAGGCAAACAAGCCCTTGATAGCTTGCACAGAAGAGACTGTGACACGCCAGCCTTCCCTGCTGGTGATGGGAACGAAGAGTCGTGTGGAGCAACTGTTTCTCCAAATTGAAGATGTCACATCGCCCCTTCAAATAACAAGCATTATCAATGCGTTTAATGCACTATTTAAGTCCTACTACGTATTCAACCTCGCCTTTCCTGCCCCCCCCCCCCCAAATAACAAATAAAAAGGCACTGTGGAGTCAAAATTGCACAAGTTCAACTCTTATACTGTATAAGGATTTAAATACATCACAGCAGCAAGATATTTGGTGTGAATTTCATTTGGAGAAAATTTAGAATATTATCTTGTTTTATCTGAAAAGAGAATCATCTGGTTGATTCCTCCAAAACCTTTTCCCTCATCAGATATTCTTGTTTATATTTACATTTCTTGACTTTCACTTCCCTTTCAATAATTAATTATCCATTTATAGAAATCTTACAAAATCCAGCAATTCTTTAAAACTCTGCTTAAAAACACAATGTACATCAAATACCAATTGCACAGTTGTTTGGTACTTCAAAATCAATGGAAGTTGTATAGAAAAAACCTAAAATTAAGAAATAGATGCTAGGTGTGTTGTCTCAGCCTCTGAACTTTTGGACAATTCAGCTTTGTCAAATCGAAGAGAAGACGTAATCATGCATACCGGTACACACTTTTGTTCTCTCTTATTTTACCTGGTATGTGTGTTGTAACTTTGGAATATTATGAGGAAATTGGGGGAAACAGAATTTCCTTTATTAAGGGTATCAGCATGTTGAAAAACAAATCTAGAGTAAATGGCGAAACAAAACTATGGCATGATTCACAACCGGATGCCTAAAATCAACTTCCGATTTCCAGGGGAAAACTACAAGGACAAGTCTGAAAGTAGTGGTTTTAAGCAACGCTATTGTAAAAAAAAAATGGCTTCAAGACTTATAAATAACCCCTGCAAGCCAGCAAAGTATGGCATGAAAGCGTATAAAATATGTGATTCGTCTGGATATACGTGGAAATTAAGACTTTACACGGGTAGAGCCAAGGATACCATTGTTGGACTTGTGATGCCAATGAAGACAGGATTTTTGGATAAAGGATACCGCCTCTTCATGAACAATTAGAACTCGATCAAGTCCTACGCTTTTAGCAGAACTTTTCAAGCAGAGAACTCATGCTTGTGGAACTGTCAGAGCCAATAGAGTTGAAATGCCCAAAAATCTGAAAAACCTGTTCAAAAGATGACTCCTGGGATGTCCATATTCAGACGATCCAATGAATTGAATTTGCATGACAATATATAGGCCTACAGATTAATTTAATTCATCATGTCAAATACAAAATGAGCCCTCAAAAATGAGCCCTTCAACGCCATGGTGAAGTCGTACAACAGGGACCAGC